ATATCCTGTACACCTGAAGTGTAAGAAGGGGTATAAACTGTGAGTAGGTCATTGGATTTAACAATTAAGAGTTTTGGTTATCTTAGCAAGAACAAATTCCATAAAGTAGCAAGTATAGACATTAGATGGCAGTGGATTGAGAAATAAATAGAATTTTTCCCCTTACATATAAGTTTTTAGCTGATATTTTTATAGAAATTGGCTGGCAGACAAATTGAAGATATATGATCCAAATAAAGATCTAGAATCCTGAATATATTACATTAATTTAAAGAGGATCTGTAGCTCTTTAGTAGACAAATGGTAGGCTTGATACTCTTTTTAGAAAATTTATAAATCTAATCAGTATCTTCATCCCATTAAAAAAAAAACCCTATAACTCTATTTATAGATCATAGGGCTTCTTGAGGATTTTTGCTTCTTTGTACTCCCTATTCTTGTTTGGATAGTAGTAATGCATTAATAATATATAAATGATTTTTTTAAAATAACTAAGTAATTATATAAATTGGGTTGAGTTTTAGCAATCATTTGATCATTTTTAAGACACATTTAAAATTTTTGTAATCAGAAAGTGGTATGTCATAGTTTTAATTGATATCATATTTTCTACTTTGGTATCATACAAAATGATGATACAATCTCAATCAATATAAATATCATAAATAAAATATGACAATGTAGTGAGGAGCATTCAAGTTGAGACTACCTGCCAGATACTTTAGTTTTAATATAATTAATATTGTTCCAGACTTATAAAAAACATTTTTGGCAATTGATGATATATTCTTTCTCTTCTTCTCTCTCTTTTTCCCTCATTCTCTTGCTCCCATGGGCCATGGGTCAGGCACAAAGTTTATCTTAAAATTGTTATAGAACCAGCTTTGATAGTACATATCTGTAATCCCAGCTACTCAGGAGGCTGATACAGAAGGATCTCAGATTCTAGGACAACCTGGGCAACTTAGCTAAACCCTGTCTCAAAATGAAAATGTAGGGGCTGGGGATGTGGCTCTGGGGCTGGGGATGTGGCTCAAGTGGTAGTGTGCTCACCTGGCATGCGTGAGGCACTGGGTTTGATTCTCAGCACCACATAGAAACAAAACAAAGATATTTTGTTCACCTAAAATTAAAAAATAAATATTTTTTAAAAATGTAAAGTTTAAAGAAGTATTTGTCTAGAATATGCAGAAACCTCAGTTCAATTCCCAAAACAAACAAAAAACCATAATAGACTGGTCAGGTTTGGGTGTGAAAAGAGAAGAAGGACTCTGTAGGCAACCTGTTTTTTGTTACTAGAGCTTATGATTTGCTGTCTATGGAACAAATCTTGGTTGATTACAATTCTTACCAATATCCTAGAAGAGTTAGGCATCAGTGATCATAAGAAGGCATAATTTTTGATCTTGCAGGTTGGAGTACAATGACTTCTTCTTTATTTTTTCCTTAATCACAGACATGTGTTGACAGGATACATGTATTGACACTATTTTGACAGAATACCTGGCAATATACTCAGCACTGTAAATAATCTTTCATTCTTTTTGGCATGTTTCTTAATACAGTAAAAGATTGATAGTCATAGTTCCTAAAGCCTTCTCCTTCTTCATACATATTTTTGAACTGAAAGATGAGATTTGTAGTTTCTTAAATGAAGAGCTGTCCTAGCCAGAGAGCACTGAGTGCTCATTCACAGCACCCAGTAAACTGTCTCAAAATGGAAATTTAAAATAAGTTTAAAGGTTCAGGGGTATAGCTCTAGCGTTAGAGTATTTGCCTAGCATATGCGTTGACTATTGAATGATTTGTCTTTTAAATGGTTGACTAGGAAATGAATGGGCTTATAGCATGTGAGTAAAGGTTGGATGGTACTTAAAAACTATTGAAAACATAAAGAATGTACATTGAGAACTTAATAAGAATAATGAAAGCTTCTCAATCCATTTTGGGTATTATTAAAATGAATTAAAACTTAGTACCATAAAGTTTCCCACCACAGAAAATATTGATTCAAACTTTGAAAGTTATTTCTAGAGATAAAAATGAATCACCAGTTGTATAACATATCAAGTTCATATAAATCAGTTTTAGCAAATCAGCAGTTCTTTCTTTTAAATCAAATGTAAATAAACAAAAATACCACATTTTTATACTTGTGTTCATTAATTTCAGTGTCTCAATACTTAGTCCTTAGAAGAGTGAAGCAACAATATAGTGATGGGAAAATGCAATCTAGTGATACATACTTTTTCCTCTGGTAACGGAAGGTTAAATGGGTGGCAAACAGAATGCCTTAAACAAGATTGGTATATTGATTAAAGCGCTGATTTAACAGCTCGCAGTTTCCCCCTTGGAAACCTGGAAAAGATAAGCCAGCTGCTGTCTAAGAGTGCTCAGTGTCCACTGAGAGTACACTATCTATCATCACAATATGGTGATGAGAGGTGTTTTATGTTTGTGTTAATTTCCCCCACTAAATCAGTAATTATTACAATCCTGTCCCTGCTGTTTACCCTGCAGCTGTTTTTCCATTTGTCGAGAGAGCGGGTGTTCTCTGAGGACCGCACACGTTTCTATGGTGCAGAAATTGTCTCTGCCTTGGACTATCTACATTCTGGAAAGATTGTGTACCGTGATCTCAAGGTAAAAATTAAAAAAAAAAAAAGTAATCAAAATTTGTTTTTGCGAAGACTGTAGGGACAAAAAAGTAATTACAAAGTTACATCATTTTAGAAAAACAGATTTAGTTTGAAAAAAAGCAATATTTAGAAATGTGATTTACTACATTTGACAGGAAATTTTAGTCACAAATGTGTATGATATTGCTTTATGTCTGAGTTTTTGGTGTGCAGAAAAATTTCTGTGTGACTACTCTAATCAATTTTTAATAATTTTCCTCTTAATGTTATAATTAGAGAAGTGTTAAAAACCTGAGTCAAATTCAAATAACTTTAAAAGTAACATTGTAATGTTTTCTTATTTATTGATGAAGAAACTTTTATAATAAGAATATTAAAAAGAAAACATTCATTATGGTTTTAGTGTTAACTTTTTGGTGAGTTTAAGTACCTAAATGTTTTAAAATAATCTTTTATTAATTTGCTTAGTATTTTTATTTATAGAAGCTCAGTGGTGTTGTTTTGTTAGTAATAGAGCTTTGTTTTTTCAATGTTCTTTTATGATAAGACCCTAAGAATAGCTCAAGATGGGTAAACATTCTATAAAGGCCAGACAGTAAATTTTTTCTCCTTTCTGCTCATAAAATCTTTGTTCAACTATTCAACTTTGCCATTGTAGTATAAAAGCAGCACCAGACATTATGAAAATGAGTATGTTGAGCTGTGTTCCAATAAGACTTTATTTGCTGAAAGTGGTAGTGGTTAGATTTGGTCCACATCATAGTTTACTGATCCCCAGTGTAGATTTTATAAGGTAATAATAATTCAAAATACTGTTATAAGAAAGGTTGGCTATATTAAGGAAATTTGTACTATGACATATTTTGAAAAAATTCTAAATGTTACTACCTTTTTAAAAAATATTTTTAGTTGTAGATAGACACAATACCTTGTTTTATTTATTTATTTTTATGTGGTGTTAAGGATCGAACTCAGTGCAAACTCTACCCCTCTACCACTGAGCTACAACCCTAGCCCTTACTATCTTTTTTAAAAAGTAGATCATGTAATGTGGGACTGAATTGCTTTGTTGAGCAAAGTCTAATTTATTTAAGATATGATTTGATTTACAGAAATGGAAGTTAGGTGAGATTTTTTATGGAATTCTATATTGTATAAAACGAAAGGGAAAGGGAAAGGGAAAAAAAACAAGAGAGAAATGAATTACAGTAGATGGAGTAGAGAGAGAAGATGGGAGGGGAGGGGTGGGGAGGGTGTGTTTAAGAAATCAGTTACCGCCTTACTCCACCTCACTTTTTTAAAAAAAATACCTGTGATTGTTGAGTTATCTAATTATTTGAACTGTTGTCTAAGTTATTTAAAGATATTCTAGCATTTTCATTTATGTATGGGTGACCTTGGTGAGTAACTGTCTTGCAAAGTATTGTTTTTTAGAATGTATAAATGTCTAAATTTGTATAATTTATTACTTATTAAAATTTAAAAGAGGAAAAGTGAAGTAGATAACTATAAAACATCTAATCAAGAATGATTATCTTAAGGGCCAAAATGAACTAGAGATGAGTCAATCATATAATTGCATTCAGTTTGGGGCTGGGGATGTGGCTCAAGTGGTAGCAAACTCGCCTCGCATGCGTGTGGCCCGGGTTCAATCCTCAGCACCACATACAAAAAAGATGTTGTGTCCGCCGAGAACTAAAAAATAAATATTAAAAAA